AAGGTGGGGATGGGGGAGGGGATGGGCAGGGGTGTGGAGGGTGGGATGGAGGGTGGGGAAGGTGGTATGAAGGGAAGGAAGAAAACAAAGGACAATAAACGTTTCAAGCTGGCCAGGGTAAGCAGTGTAATCCAACACTAGCCCTGAAGCCTGCCAACCCAAGCTTGAAATGTCATTAAATACATCTGTAAAAAATAAATATATACATGAACATAAATCTCCACAAAATAAATACAGAGTATAAAGTGTGTATAAAAAACAACGTAAGCCCATTTCATCCCATTGTTCAAAAAGAATGATTAGTCGGCCATCCATGACCATGTATGAATAAATAATATATCATTGGAAAGAAGAGATAGGTGGCTTTAAGGTGCTACATGTACTACTCACTTTGGTGTAAAGCTAACACAATTTTCACCAACTTGAACAGAAATCTTGTTGCCTTTTTTGATACACACTGTATATACACAATATAAATAAGTTATAAAGGGGGCTCTAGTTAAAATTAAACTGACAAAAAACCAAACCACAAAAGTGTCCAATAATGTGACAAAACCAAGATATAACAATATATGACAATATATAAAACAAGCCATGAAAAGACAATGTAGAAATGAGATACGGCCAGTTGAAACAGACACCCACAAGACTGACAGACCGACCAATGACCTTCCCCAACCAACAGACCGTCCATGAAAATGGCAAATTAAACTAACCAATTAAATCGACTGTTGAACTGACAAACACACCAATATACATGTACAACAGACAGACAAAAACTACATGTACGTGTATGTAAACAAAAATAGCTTGAAAGTGCACTGTTTGCAAAGCAGAACAAGACTGCAAAGGTCATGGGCATCAAAACAAAAATTATTCAGGATGTTGAAAGTGGTCTAATAAACTTCTGCTGAATGAACTTCAAGAGTCAAAAGTACACTGACATGGTCCGATCACATCGACGCAGTTGTCAGAACCCTAGGATTTATTTGGCAAGTTGCAGGAGGAACTTCAACCCAGGTCCTTTCATCCCTTTATACAAAAGTCTGCAATATGAGAGGGAAGGTTGCTCCAGATATGAAGAAATGAATGAGTTACAAACTGCGTCGATGTGATCGGACCATGTCAGTGTACTTTTGAGGGTTAACCCGAGGTATTTGTAGGTGTGCGTGATGCTTTAGGGGAGAGTCCTTGAGGAAATAAGTTGGAAGATCAATTTGCTTCGTAGCACATGAAATGTGAAGGACTTTTTCTTAATGTTGAGTTACATGCTGTTTGTAACACTCCATCAGCTAAGTGAATTAAGTTCAGCTTGGAGGACAAGCTAATCATCCAGTGACTGAATAGGTTGGTAAATTAGTGTGCCATCAGCAAAAACTAGGAATTTTGTTGTCAGGTTGTGGGAGATGTGATTGATGAACAGATTAACAATCAAAGGGCCAAGGACGCTTCCTTGTGGGACACTAGATGTGACAGGTGCCCAGTCCGAAAAGCAACCATGGTACCTAACACCTTGCTTTAGGCTGTACATGAATGATTTAATTCACGCCCAGGTTTGTCCTCTGATGTTGTAGTTCTTTGCCAGTTTATTTAGCAGGATGTCACGCAGCATGGCATCAAGGCCTTGCTGAAGTCAAGCAATATGATATTAATGCGAGGAAGTCATGGTCTGTCCAGAGTGGTCGCCCAGTCATGAACTGCATTAGTTAGCTGAGCGACACCTTGGATTTAATGATTAATACACATGAAATAAATTGGCAAGGTGTTTTTCATGTCTGCTTTGTAACTTTGTAATCAGGTCCCGTATTCCAGGGCAAATATCTTTTCCATGCATCAGCAGTTAAACCCTGGGGAAATTAAAGACTTGTTCATGGGTAAACCAGAATTGAATTTTGATTTCCTTCCCAGCAAACTGCACTGGTATTTAGAATAAAAGTTACAAGCTCCAACAATATGGTTTGACAGAACAGACAGTGTGGATATGGCAAAAGAGAACAAGCTTCGAAGAAAATTGTTTATAAATATATGAAAGTGGCGATGACAAAACTGCATTTTTTCTATAAATGAGACAACTCTCTTCTCGTTCTTTCCTCATTGGGTATTCCATGTACAGTAAACTCTGACTAAGTCGGCATTGCGTAACTCGTCATATTGTCTATGTTTGCCTTTTGACAAAAGTCCTGATCGTCTGTAATGCATTTCCATTGAAAATTTTATTTCCAAGTCAACATTTATAAGTCATCATTTCGTATTAGATCGGCATGTTTTTCTTGGTCTCTTTTCCGCAAAACCACAAAAATTTCTTTGTGTAAGTTGGCATAAAAAAAAAAATTTTGCTTCGGTATGAGTTTCCTTTGCTGCGGTTGCCAAGAAGTGTCAAGTGACAAGTCCCAAATTGCTTGACTCATGTCTGTTTATTAGCAGCACAGGCCATGGTTGATAATCTGCCAGAATGAATACATCAATACAAGTTACCCCTCCTGTACAACACCCATGTGCTCTGTCCATTTTGAGAGTCGCCTTATTGAATGAACTTAACCGATGCGCGTGCGGATGAGTGTATGCTTTCTGTACCATAGCTGTGTCATGTACATGTACATCCTGCACTGTTGAGTTGGGATGTGAGATGCAAGTGGCTTGCTGTCCTTGCTTTGTCCTTAGGGGCACATGATCAATTATTGAATTTGCAGCCCGTGAAGACAGTAATCGAGAATGACTTTGCTGGGATTAACCATGGAGGTGGAAATAAACCAGGGTAAATCAAAGCCATTGAATTAGTGCAAGGAATCATAATGTACATAGGCAATACACTTGTACGTGTAAGTCAGCAAAATCATGACTTGCCGCACAAGTCAGCATTCGCGAAAGTCGTCATAATTTCTCGGGTCCCGAGAGTGCTGACCTAGCCGGAGTTTACTGTATCTCCATAATGGCAATCTGCTGCCCTGAGAAAAAACTTTGACACATTTAAAGAAAAAAATTAGAATTGAGGATTTTCTTAATGCAGAAAACTTGTTATTCAACATGTATGACTCAACAATGCACAGCTGACACAAAACAACAGGAGTTTCTTTTCATGGCTGAGCAGATTAGTTTTGGAAGCTCTATCTCAGGGAGAAGCCTTGCAAGAAGAAAGCCATTACTTCCTGTGTTTGATAAGCCCAGTGTCTGAACGTTGTCTGAAGTAATCATCAGTTCTAACACGATTCTACACCTGCCAGGTTGGTAACACTGGTCAGGGATCTATTTCTATATGTATGGGAGATACATTTTCTGGAGGTGCCGACTACTTTCCCCTGTCATGGGCATGGTGTGCCCATCAATCACAAAACAATTCCCTCAAACGAACTGTTGTAAAATCCAGTTCTCATGAACCAGTTTCGAAAAAGAGAACACTATTTAGGGAAAAAAAATGACAAACTTTCCATCCTTTCACTCTACTCCAACTCATCTTCAATGTTGTTCTCTTTCCATTTTCTGTGATCAACTTTTCCTAAAATCCTAACACAATCTCCACAGCTTCAACTATTTCATGCAATGCTGACAAAAATATCAAGTTTTCCAAACTCAGATATGTCCCCTTTCAATACCTCCGAACAACACAAACAGCTTCTGATGTTTCAAGTCTGTACCTGAGTGTGGAGAAGAGCTTGCTCATGCCGGCTTGAATGGGCAGAAGAATGACGAGCAGTGCATATCCAGGGAGACAAGCCCATCCAATCTCCAACCAGAGTAGCCCCAAGACTGCCAGAGCTTGTAGCGGAGACAACCACAGGTAATGTAGGGAGATCATAGCCTAGACGAACAAGACAGAATGGAAGCTGACATTCTCAGAAATGTCACCCTATCTTTTTCAAAAGTACATGTATACTTTCCGACCTAAGATCATTCAGTTTTTGTTATCATTATAAAAATGAATCTTAGCAATGTTAACAGCTACGTTTTCAATATCAACTGGAGGTAGATTGGAAAATGTTCTCCCTACGCATTGCAGCTGTGGTTGTTACTGTACTGATGGTGTTGTTTACTCTTGTCAACATTTATGACATTTCCATTAAGATCACTGTCTTACCATGTCAAATCTATTAACATCATTTGTCATGAGATTGTTGACTTGACCACTCGAAGACTGACGCGTGGAAATGTTGTCCAGTCGCAGTATCTACACCAACGTGGAAAGGAGGAAAGAAAACATCACAAGGAAAAATGGCAAGCCTCCCTTGAAAGGTAGTTCTTCAACGGGGTGTTAGCTCTTTTACTTAGCCTGCCCAGCAAGTTTTATATATATATTTTTTTTCAATAGCCAGAGGGAATATTCACTAGCCAACTGGACATTTTTTTAGCGAAAATGACTTTGACTGTTTTTTTCTTTTACTTTGTTCTTTAAGCTGTTATTGTGGAGTCATGTTATTCATTTTACTATTCTGTAAATTTCACAATTTATAAGTGGAGGATTGAAAACTGTTACAATTTAACAATAAACAACATGTCTAATCACAATCAGCAACACCTGTAATCTTTGCTTCATTCATCTTTACAAGTAAGACAAATGACAGTTTCAAACAGGCAGGTATTTCTTTATTAGCCCACTGGGTAAGTAAAAGATTACAGCCCAAAGCACTTTTTCTATAATTTGTAATTTGCTATTTGCTGGTCTAGTGCTAAGGTCCAAACCTGCTTAACGGTAAACTGGGATGACGTAAAGTGGATAATTGACAGCCCATCTACAAGAACAAACTCATTATCCTCCCTACTTAAAAAATGTGGTTGAGACGTGCCACAAGCTCTCTCACCTTGCGGTAGATCAAGGTACACAAGGACACCCGAATCTTCAATGCTAGCCTTTGGAGGCCGAAGAAGAAAGGGCTATGGACTAGCATGAGGGTGAGAGCACACAACGTGACTCCACCAGCATAGACGTAGGCTTCCCAATCCTGAACTTCCATGAGAGGTGAGAAATAGTCGATGAAACGACCGAGGATGAATGGCTGGGTTAGACGGACTGCTTGCTGTGAAAGGAAAACACAGACATTTTAATATAAGGGATTTAATTCATGAGGATCTTAATAGGAAGATGTCTTCAATGAGATAATGAGACAAATAAAGAAAACAGTGAATATATCGAACTTTTTTTCCAGGAATTCAATTTTACACCAAGATGTGAAGTTAGGAGTACACTTTTTCTTTGAAATGTGTAATCCACCATCGGGTACATTCAAGTTGAAAAAGTACACTTGCAAATTGTGTGTACATTGAGGCAAATCCAGATATTGAATTCGCCTTCAGACTGACTTTTTAAGAATTGCTGGTATATTGCAAAACTGCAACCTCGCTATGGATACACAGTTCCTGATTAAATTACCGAGAGAACGTACCTCTATGATTGCAAAAATGCCAAAGAAGGCATAGGACCAACCAAAAGTCCGGATAAGAGCATGATTAAGATTGGCCTTCTTTCCAAACTTCTCCTTTTGCAGTTCCTTCATCCACTCTCTGTGACAAACACAGGAATAAAACCAGCAATAAACGGATAGAAAAGTCCCAACATGTGATTCCCATACAATGTGGCAGACCCCCGGGGATTACAGTTGCCCTGCATCAGCTAATGTGCAGAAAATCCAGCAAATGCCAGTTATCTTGTTCAGTGGCTGGTATGATTCGGCTGCCATAAGTGGGGGCTTCCTGAAGTCCAGGGAAAAAATGTTTGAATTCATCCACACTCAATTTTTTGAAATACTTGGCGCTCTAGAAAACCAAAAATAGAACGTGTACAGAAGCTAAAGAAACGACTGGTAACAGATGAGCCTTAAAACACTCACCATGTATTCTCCTTTGCCCAAGTCGACATCAACATTTCTTTTTATATACGTGTGATTACAATCAAACTACTCTTCCATCTCAAGCCGAGATGACTAGACTAAACTAAACTTATCTTGGTTCTGAACTCATCATATTTTAAAGGTATTTATAAAGTCTCTTTCTTCTATTTTAAAAGTTTCTATAAGTTCTCTTTCCTCTATTTCAAAGGTTTGACCTTGTTTTAACCTTACCTTTCAAGTTTGTCTCCTAAATGTTGCGATTCGTCTGATGGTAATACATTATCCAGGTCATCTGGAGAGAGTTTCTTCTGTTTGTTCGCGAGGCTGAAAAGTGGTCCAATCCACCTAAAGAGAAAAATAAAACCAAAGTATGACAGTGGAAATGCTGGGAATTAGTAATCTATGGAAACATTCCCATTTGCATGGATGTCACGTTTGACAAGCAACTCTATGACGAAACTTTTTAAAGCAATAACTGTCAGGCTGGAGCTCTTTGGGAACCGTTCATGCACTGCATTTAAACTCAGGGTGTTTCTTTTAAAGATGTAGTGCTTACACAGACAGTTTTTCAAAGAATTGAAGTCCTTAAATAGTTTCAGTTTTGTAACATGTATGTAGCTAATGAAGTATATTAATTTACACTTGACAAAAATAATTGGGGAAAATGAAATTTCTTCATATAGTTTGATCCGCAATATTTTTCAATATGACGAGTTCATGTACGTTTACTATAGGCATTATAGCAAATACTGGTAAAGTGATTTTGCATTTATAAGAGGCCAAAAGGAATTGTGGACAAACAGAAGATGATAAGATATTCTATCGTTTTCATTCCCATAATGCTATGTTATTATTGTACATTATTCAAGCATTTACGATACCATCTACGGTTGAAAACAGAAACTCAGAAAAACACCGACGGGAAATGCCATACAAGATTATTGAGTAACGATAGGAAAAGTGGATCAAATTGAAACTTACATAAAGAAGAGCTTGGAGAGTGGATTAGCACTGAGGTAGGGATTCCGTTTGACCTTAACTGCGCTTCCATCCATGATTGGGTACTTTTTTCACTCCAGTCCAAATTGTAAGATGCACAATGCCACCCTGATCTCTTCAATTCCTTTTTATCTAAATCCCAAAGTTCAATTTATTTTCTCTGAAAAAGCCTGTAAAGGGGGAAAAAATTACTTCAACCTTAAAATGAGCAAGCCTGTGACGTGTTTGAAAAATTTCGTAAATACGTCAATAAGAATTTGTTAAATAAGAATTCATAAGAACAAGTAAGATATTTTTCAAAAACACGATCTTTAAAATTCAGACAGCATGTCCTTGTAAAATGTATTTAAAGCTTTCTTTAATAAGTTCTGAAAATTAACGCTAAATTGACCCATCAGCTGGTTAAATCCAGTGAGAAATGGTACGATGAACAGCCTCTAGAGAGTTTGTGTGGCTGCCATCTTGCAGGCCAGTGCTACGGTTCCACAGGCATGACGGTATATATAGGCAAAAAGGAGGTTTCCCTGTAGAACTAAAGAACTCCCCTACAAGATGACTACCACGTGAAAGCTCTACAAGAGGCTTTATGTCACAGTGGTGTTCTTGCCTACAGGGGCTGATAAAATAAAACTATGACAGTTGCTCAAGAAAAAAACAAAAAAAATAATTCATTGAATGATAAATCCCATCAGCTATCAAAACACAAAATACTACACACTGTTGCTACAATACAAAAGGAAAATACAATCCTCTCTAAAATTAACAAAGCTTGTGTACCGGTACATAAAAGCAAAGTATGAATCCAACCAAGGGCAGACGGCCAGAAAAACAAAAGGAAGCTAAATTAAAAAGGTCTGGAGTCCAAGTATTGACGGGGTTTCTAAAATGATTGCCTTTTTAGAAAGGTGGAGTCCTTGTTAGACATCAAACTTTTATAAAAGGCATTAGAAAAGCTGCTTTGTCCAACTGGATATTTAAACGAGTGTGCAAGAGACGGCTCCAACACCCCCAAGGTTCTGAGAAAAGAAATATCAGATGTACTCAGCTAAAGAAAAATGCAGACATCTGAAGTGCTTAATCTGTTAATAACAATACACAATTACAAATCGCTGTGATGAGTATACTCACATGCAGTCAGGTGGAAAGAACATTAGACAGAACATCAAATATGGAGAATGAAACCGAAAGTTGTTCAGTGCCAACGATCACATCACGTTTTCTACTTTTGTCACGTGAAAAGAACAGCTACAATATTTCCAGCTCTAAGTCCAGACTTAGTGTCGAGTTCACGGGAAAGCTGGGATAACGCAAGAGTGACCCAGAAACAAATTAGGCGTGTCATCAAATTAGAACCCCTTTCCGGACAGGTCTTGGGGTGTCTCGAAAGGGATTGAAACTTTAGATTGAACTGAGCGGGCCCGGATTAGTTCCACCAGGTATCTGTGTCAGGCTCTGGCCGATCACGATGAAAAGCAATTACAGTAGTTGTGTCAAACTTCAGTGAGCGGGTTGCATATGGCTTCACATATTGTGGAAGTTAGCATACCGGACCCAGTGCCCGAACCGTTTGCAATTTGTGTCACAGCTTACCTCAATCCACCAAAAGTTGTCACGAGATTCAACCGGACTCCAAACCCGAATTCAATCGCCCCGACACGTAACCTCTGAGTTTAACTTCATCGACATCAGGATATTTCATGTATGACTGAGCATCTAATAACCGTAAAGCTTGCATTCATCGTCAGACCCTAATGAATTACAGAGTTCAAGTAGGCCCATCCTGAAGTATTCATTGTGCTTATGCAAGCGGATATGTTAACGTACATGTACAATGACGTACATGTACATTGTATGTTGCACGCGCACAAAGTACAAGTTGACCAGTTTCCAGCGATCCCGGAACTTGTAGAACTTGTAGCGTGGACCTCGTAGTCTTTGATTCAAGGCACTCTTGTAATGTGGAGCTCAGTATTAGGCGCCCTCTACGACTTTATTAGTAAAAAAAAAATCACACGAAAATAATAAATATAGGACGAAACGAATACATATGGGCCGGAAGTGAAATAAATCTAAAACGAAACAAATGTATGAAGGACGAAAGAATTATACATGGACAAAACTAATACACAAAGTACGAAACCAATCTATATATAGGACAAAGGTGATTTGTGTAGGACGAAAACAAATAAATATACCAAAAAACTCATATATAAATGACAAAACTTATAAATGTAGAACAAAAATAATAAATAGGACAAAGGGCCGCCACCTCGACGCCAGATCGGTTGTAAGATACATAAAACGAAAACGTAAAACATATACGACGAAGCGCCAAGGTTATGGAGGGCGCCAAGGAAAAGGTTAAAAGGCCCCTCCATAATTATGCACATCAACACTTGTGTCATGTGTTGCGTATCTGTCATATCAGAATCGCCCCTGAGAGCGTTTTTGACAGAGTCAGTTTTTGTGTCCTTGAAAAAGAAACGCACGAACTCATCGCACACTCAACGCACCAGAAAAAAACGTACATCATGGACAACATTGATATAATGTCCCTGTGCAAACTTGTCTGAAAAAATTGCCTGTTTTCTAAGTAAATGCTTCGTAATTTACCTTGCTAAATTTCACTTTTTGGGACATGTAATTACTTCATGACGGCTGTTGTAACATTTTAAGGCAAAATTAGTGTTGCCCGTAACTCTTAAGGAACTCTTTTCCCCTTCAGCCTTGATACTTTGTGCTTTCGCGCTTGGAACGAGCACGCCGCCAACGGTACAGTCCACGATGGGTGCAGTGTCCCAATTCAAGGGAATTTCTCCGCCAGGCCGAGGCGCAGAAAAAGTACCCCCCCCCCCGAGATTGTTTCGAAAAGAGGGGTCTGTTTGGGCCAGGAAATGGTGGCATTGTGTCAGTATGGCTCAGGATTATCTCTG